TAGAGAGGTTTAACAACAGATCAGCAGCAGAGTAACCTTTCCTGAAGCCATATTGACAGTCACAAAGTAGTGAGTGGTAGTCAAAAAACTCTGTCATTTGCCTTGAGATTATTGTCTCCAGGAGCTTGCCAGTGATTGACAGGAGTGACACTGGTCTGTAGTTGCTGATTTCTGCTCTGCTCTTCTTTTTTTTTGTGAACAGGGACTACATTTGCCTCTTTCCACAGAGAAGGCCATTTACACTGTGCTAGGCAGTGCTGAAAGATGTGAGTTAGAGGTGCTGCTAGCTGGTCTGCACATCAACTCAGCAATCTTGGGCTCAACTTGTCTGGGCCCACAGCCTTTTCTTAGTCAAGTGATTTAAGAATGAAGTGCACCTCTTCCTGCCTTATTGTTACCACTGACAGTTTTGACACAGTTCTTGCAGCTAGCCAAGGAGGGTCCCTTGCAGGATCTGGAACTTGCCTTTTGGTAGCAAAATGTTCGGCAAAGAGGTCCGCTTTCTCCTGACTACTAGTAGAGCTGGTCCCATCCTGTCGATTTAGAGGTGGAATGAGTTCATCAGGCAGATAACCTTGTCTGTCCTTGACCAGGGACCACCAGGTTTTGGAGCCTACCCTACCTGATGCTAGCTTTCTTTTTGTGTCCATCTCCCATTTAGCAATGGCCCACTTTTGAACGTCACCCATATGCCTACAGGCTTGCCTGTGCAAGTTCCTGTTAAAGGTGGTAGGATGTCTCTTATACCTTCGCCATGCCATGTACTCAGCAGTAGCAGCCTTTCTACAAGAAAAGCCCAACCAAGGCTGATCTGTAGGCTTCATCACATATTGCCGGTGAGGAATGTGTTCTTGTTGTAGATTAAGGACGTGTCCAGTGAAGGCCTTCACTTGGTTGTCAACATCCCCTTGAAGAAGAGCATTCCAATTTGTGGTGGCGAGCTCAGAGCAAAGGGCTGGCCAATTACCTCTTTCCCAAAGCCAGGTTGTACGTGTGGACTCCTCACCTTGTTCTGTTGGGATCTTAAGTGTCATAAAAACAGCCTTGTGGTCAGATGATCCAACGTAGCCGAGGGGTTGACAAGTGACTATACCTTCTGCCAGGTCACTCACTACTGGGTCAAGGGAGGAGCCACAGATGTGAGTAGGGAAATCAACAAAGTTTCTCATGTCAAATACTGCAAGAAGGTCATCAAAGTCCCTCTGTATAAGGTGTTGGTTGAGGTCACGAACAATTTAAGACATGTTGACAGTTGTATTGTAGCAGAAGGGAGTCCACATTTTCCATTAGGAAGTTGATGGGGTCTGCATGTTGCCTCTGAGGTCTGTACATTGCACATGCTAGTACAGTGGTACTAGTGTTTATGCATAGCTTGAAGAACATCATTTCAAGATGAGTAGGGATGGCAACATCTATGTGCTGGGCATGTACACTATTTCGACCCCTGAATGGGTCACAATGTATATAATATATATGTTCATAAAATTTTATATTGCTTATATTTGTGATATAGCTAAATCGTAAATATGTTGCTTTATATTATTATTTGACTTAGTTATATTATTAGGTAGGATGTAACATTTATATATTATTCAGTGCTCATAGTTCGAGTGTTAAGTAGCTGAGAGCATTGTCTATCGCTCCGCTTGTTTCCCTGCCGGCTTCTCTGTAGTTGCTGGGCAGCAGCAGTCCACGGAGAGTCACGTGATCATGGGGGGTGATCACACCTCACCTGGAGTGCGAGCCAAGCTGGCCTGCGCTAGCTATTGTTTGTTTGGCATGCCTTCCAACAAGACAGCCTCTCCAACTCTCCCTTGATGGCCCTTGTTGGAAGATCGTCTCTGTCGCTTTCTTGTTGGTTCTGTGTAACTCTGTTCATAGAATATAGCCTAGACTTAGTGATTTTCGACGTTGTACTAAGGTTGTGTGTCGCATAGACACTCTGAGAAACTCTGGTCCTGAGCTGTTGCTTCTGACCTAATTTGCAATGGTATCTGTGCACTGTCACAGTCGGGGATTTTCTAGTAGCCTACCAATTGTAATCCTGAAGCACTATTGAATCTTACTAAATTCTAATGGATAATTGGACAAGGATACTGACTACTTGTTACAAAAACCCAGTAACAGGCTGGATGCTAGAGGGGCAGTCCTTTCTAGTATTCACTGGAGATCTCTAACATTATTAGATATCGCATTTTTTGTAACATACACTTTTAGAGAAGCACACAGCAATGCCTCCTCCTTGCCCTTGCCTGTCTCTTCTCATCCATGAAGTGTAGCCAGCAATTCTTGCAAAATTTTCTGAGTCCTGTCGTCCAAAAATGTTTCAACAACAGCTATCATGTCAGGACATCGAATGTTCACAAAACTGTGTGTGAGCTCTCCAACATTAGTAATGAACCCTCTAATGTTGGCCGACAGGATGCCGATAGACTGGCTCCTCATGATGTGGTCAGCTTGAGGTGGTGGGTGTGTAAGGCATGTACGGTGCCTGTCCTCGAGAGAAGTAGGGCACTGAGGCAGCTGCAGGGATGTAGGTCTGTGGTCTTGAATAAGGTACAATACCACCTGATGGGCTGAGACAGGAGTAGCTGAGTGTGTGACATGTGAGTGTGTTCACCAATTCAGAGATCCTGCTGGTTTGTTCTTAGAACAGGTCTCTAAACAGGTGGTCCTGTCTATCAAGTTCCTTTTTCTTCTGACACTGGTCCTCCTGATGTCCTTTCTTGTGGCAGTAATTGCACCTGGTATCTCGCAGGCAGTTGTTGGTGGTGTGCCCCTTCCGGTGACAGCGAGAGCACTGCCTAGGTGCCTGGGAGGGTGGACTATTATTTGTTGCACCCACTGTTTTGCTGATTTCTCCGCAGGTTCTGCCTCCGGGACTGTGTTGGTGGAAGGTGAGACAGCTGTAGAGGTCTTCCTCCTCCACGTCCTCCTCCACGTCCTCTTCCACGTCCTCTTCCACGTCCTCTTCCACGTCCTCTGCCATGTCCTCTGCCACGCCCCTGTACAGCTCTGACAGATGTATCCCTGCTGTTCGTACTTTGGTGCAGTAGGTGCTGAGGTGCAGTGATAGTGCCCTCTCTCTCTCTATCTCTCTCTATCTCTCTCTTTTCTTTCTTTGTTGGGTTTATCAGGGCCACTGACAGCATAAACCATATCGAGCCCGACTTCTCAATGGTATGAGGAAGATTTGTTGCCCAAGGCGGGGCGATGAGAGAAAAAAAGTTCTTTGTAAATAGAGATGAACTTGAAATTTCCAATCAGATCCGGTGCCAAACTCCAGCAGAAGGGGGCCCTCCCCACACCCCCACCCGAGTTCAGTAACTGGCTTCCCACCAACGACTGATAAAGAATTATCCACAGAGCGGAAAAAATGGAGTTGGCTTGAAGTAAGCCGATGAACAGGTGCCCCTCCTGTAGTGCCCGGCGCACAAAATAGATGAGGACAAGCGTTCCAGAGAGAACGGGGAAAATTTATCACCGATACTCAGGCGAGAGAGAGAGACATCCACACCCAACGAAGGCTGGCACAGAAGTCCCCCAGTCTCTCTCACAGGTATACATAACAGTGTAAATTACCTAGGATAACCCAAAAAAAATGCAGACAAAGTGCTATACTGTGCTTGTAGATAGAAGGCATAATAAACATTACTGAAAATATGCATTTTCACTTTATCAAGAATAAAATGTGAGAACTTCGCATCGTGTGTAATACCTGTTGGATCATAAGCAGCTTTCTGAGACACACACACAAGCAGAGAGAGACAGGAAGACACACACACACAGGCAGACAAAGACAGATAAGAAGACCGAGCTTGACAGACACAGATACATATATTTTTTTAACACAATGGCTGTTTCCCACGAAGGCAGGGTGGCCCAAAAGAGAAAAACTTCCATCATCCACTCCAGTGAATGATGGAGTGAATATGTTTATGTGTAACAGTGAAAACAAATAAAGCCAAGGTTCCCTGGAGCAGTGCTCGATAATCAAGCGTCACTCTACTGCTTAACTGTCAGCAGTGGAGTGACACTCATCTTACACCATGCTGCAAGGAGTTTCATGTATACTCCAGCATGTCTAAAACATTGCTAAGACCAATAAATACCTGTCAGTGTTAGTGACTATCTGAGTACTATTTCAGCACCTAATATTAGTGTTAGAACAAAGATTGGCTATGAAATCACAAGAACTACTATGAATTGTAATTATTAGAACATAGAAATTATATAAATTAAAAAACAAGAAAAAAGGTATGTAGGTAACATTTCTGCAAGCGGCAGGACTATGTTAATGTCAGGGGAGCATCCAGCGCCAACTTCACAGCCTTATATCTCGGCAAGTACTGTCCCTAAAAATTTTTTTTGGTCTTATTACACACAGAAAATTGCCCTCTTTAATTTAAAACATGATTTTTTTTTTTTTTTCAAAATATTCAGAGCAGTGCCAGTGAAAAGGTAGATCTATGTTTGGACAGTTTAAGGATTAAGTGCCATAATATTCATTTTTAAATTGCACAATAAATTAAACACCTAAAACAAAACACAACAAGCCTAGGCTCTTTCTTTTGTAGCTACAAATAGGTAATTACACTTATATACAGAGAATATTAGGGACTCAAGGAAATCTTGAATGGTCTCCTCAAGTAAACAAATTATTGTGAGTAGTGTATAAGCACATGCACATGTTCATGTGTATTTGTTTGGCTGAATGCAGCTGGTCAACATTTAGCATGTTACTACCTGGTTCACAGTATTTTAAATAGCCAGAAATTTAGTTAATATTTACTAAAGAGCATATAGTCCATACACAAGCATTTTAGCCCATAAATAATAAATGAAGGTGTGCATGTATGAGGGCAAAACTTCACATAAATCTGTCATGGATAGCACCACAAATTCCAGACTAAGAAAACACAAGTTTGGGACAATAGCCAAACCAACTGGGTAGGTGCAGCAAACAACAAGCATGCTTTTTTTTTTTTTTTAAGTTTTACCTTGCACTTCCACCCAGTTTTGTGGAGGGAGAGGCCAAAGGGGCGGGCACACGCCATATGGTACGCCTTGTCACACACCCCACACACGATTTCATCACTTGGCTGCCGACACATCTGCACACCCGGTGGAGAGGGAGGGGGGGACACAGAGGGATTACTGTCATGCACCATAGCACAAAGTCAAGGAACCAAGACAAGGATAAAGGGGACTCCAAATACTGTGAAATGAAACTACACAAATTCCTTAAAGAGGGTGTTGGCAGAGGGAGGGGGGGAGGGGTTACTTCCAGTCAGTCATTTATTAGGTGTGACCCAAAACAACCACAGATACATAAAGAATATTGTGAGCATGCATTATTAACAATGGGTACATGTTCAGCCAATTTAAAATTAATACCATAATCAGTGGTGTAATGTTTAATATTGGGTATCAAAAGTCCAGAAAAATAACCCAAGAGATATTAAAAAATTTACATAAACCTGATGCTAAAGCTTTTTCATGGTTAATGCATGTAAAGTGTAACTAGAATCTGAGGAGTATTTACCACACTCATCACTGGAACTGAATTACTGATAATTTCTATAGAGTTAATTTTTTCCCATATTCCAAGAAGGATAGTATACTTTCCCTAGATATGCAACCATTAACTGTGCCTGCAGTTTAACCCTCTAACCAACAAAAAAAAATGTCTGAGCTGCCTGTTTAAAACAGTATATGATAACACAGCACTATCAGATTTTCTTCAGGACTACATCTCTCAGTAATGATACAATTTTTTTTAGCATTAATCAATGCATACACAAATTTGCTGAAAATGTGCTCTTAAAAAGTAACTACTATTTATCAAATAATAATTTGCAATAACCGAATTTAAAAAAAAAAAAAAAAAGGACGGCAAAAGGAATAATGAAGAACTAATAGCCCTAAATATCTCTAGTTAAATTTTGTTTACTTCAAATTAAATGTTAAATTTAAGTACAGTACATTAAAGACAAGTTTATGAATACTAGTACTGCATATCTCATCAAGTGATTAAATATGAATGCTACAGTACAATCTATTAAGTAAATGTTATTTGAGAAGTCCTTGCAGCTGTTCAGTAACTCTGCAATTACTGTACTGTACTTGTGCTTGACTTTTAAGTGATGATAGCAAGAAGCTATTGCATCATTTGCAATTACACATGACTGTAGCTATATAAATACTACCACTCAACAGTGGAAGTAAAATTTGCCAAAATTGGATTTAATTTTTAATATTTAAAAATTGTTATAACCATAAAGAAAAATAAAACTGAGTAACACTAGTTCTCAACATTTTAATAAATACAGTAAACCCTCTAATAACACTACTTCACCAAATGTGGTTTTGGTGCAAATCACTTCAAAAAGTGGAACCAAAAATTTCAACTGCACAATAATCTTGATATTACATGCCATAAATAAAAAACTTAAGCAACACTAGTTGTAATGCACTTATGTTTTTTTCCTTGCAATCTGCTTGCTGAATCTGCTGCTGTTGCAGCCTCCCATTGCTCTTGCTAAACAAATGTGATCAATGTCCATTAGACAGTGTGTTTCCTTACATACTGGCTCTCAAAGAGAAGTAAATAATATCTAAACTGTTTTATCTGCATGCTTCTGGCAAGACAGTGAGTGTGAAAGACGGTCAAGTGTTTCTTTTTCAGGTCACCCTATCTCAGTGGGACAGAGTCAGCGTGTTAAAAAAAAAATTAAATTTATGATTGCTAGGTAACATATGGATTCTTCAAACTTAAAGAGCCAAGATATTAAACAAAAGATTTCTAAAACTTACTAATGCTTATATTTTATGAAACACCTGTTTGGAGGGGTTATCTTAACTGTAATGTCAATACACTTCTGGGAAAATAATGATTAAGTGACAATGAAAGTGTTTTATTCTATTGGATCACCCTACCTTGGTGGGAGCTTGCCAGTAAAAAAAAAAAATATTTAAAATGTCTGAGGAGAATAGTCATTGTGCACTAATATCAAGCATTCACTAAAGTTGTGCATCATACGCTGTAATTACACATTCTCATGCCTTTTTACAGTGATTTATCTATTCTAGCTGTGTTTCTACAATGTGTAAACAAGCAAGTTGTACAGTACATGTATGTACCATGACTGAGGAGCAGTAATTACACCAGCCGACTGCACAAACACATCACACATTGAAGAGATTCCCCACACCCATCTTGCAAGGTAAGACTAGGAAGCATTTATTTGGTTGTGTATTTTTTTTTTTTTAACAAGTTGGGCACCTCCCACCAAGGCAGGGTGACCCAAAAAGAAAGAAAATCCCCAAAAAGAAAATACTTTCATCAACATTCAACACTTTCACCTCACTCACACACAATTACTGTTTTTTGCAGAGGTGCCCAGAACATAACAGTTTAGAAGCATATATGTATAAAGATATACAACATGTCCCTCCAAACTGCCAATATCCCAAACCTCTCCTTTAAAGTGCAGGAATTGTACTTCCCATTTCCAGTACTCAAGTCCTGCCAGCTGCTGCCCGCTTACTTAATATTATCAAAACAGCAATAATATTTCTGAGGAAGTGGAGCCGAGCATTCACTTCCTCAATCTTCTGCAAATTTTGACTTCACTTTTAACGAGTGTTGGGTAGGTTAGGTAAAAGGACACAAGTGCAACTAATGTGACATTTTATTATGGCAACGTTTCGCACTCCAGAAGCTTTATCAAGCCATTACAAACAATATATGGACACAGAGGGTATATATAGGCTTAGAGTGAGGCATAATACTAGTGGCAGTAGCAGTAGTAACATTAGTTGTAGTAGTAGTAATACATGTGGTAGAACAATCAACTTGCACACAAGTAAAAGGTTATAAAAGCTATTACTTGGGTAGCATAAAAAAAGGTTAGACAAATATTTCTGTTAGTGATTGGATTTTGAGAAGGCCAGTTTCAGTGTTCCTCCTCTAATATGTTTTTTTGTAGTATTAGAAGCAGTGACTATTGTTTTGAGGAGGATTTTTGCTAATACTTCAGAGATGAAGATGCTGCTTTTAATTTACTTGTGTTAGAAACAGTAATTAATGACGATTCAAGGCATTTACGTCTGCAAAAATTAGTTTCTCTGATCACTAGTCAGACATCGTTGAATTTCATGAGGTGACTGGTGGAATTCTGGTGTTGTACACAGGCGATGTTCAAGTTATCGTTCCTACATGCATTAATGTGTTCGTTGAGACAGGTTTCGAGGTCCCTTGCTGTTTCACCTACATATATTCTGTTGCAGCCTCCACAAGGTATAGTGTAAACTCCTGCATTGACTGGTTCGTGGTGGTTCGATTTTGTCCTGGTTAGATCCGTTATGGAAGTGCTGGATGCGATGGCGACTCTTAAGTGTTAGTTTGTGCAAGTACCTTAGAAATGTTCAACACAGGCTATTGGGAAGGATTATAACTTTGTTAGGAGTGGTGTTGGTATGAGGAAAATTAATGATCTGAAGAGATCTTCATTTGCAGTCTTTGATGAAAAAGGAAGGAAAATGTAGATCCTTCCTTTTTCATCAAAGACTGCAAATAAGGAGCTCTTCAGATCAATGTAACAGCAGGTTGATCAATGCAACAGCCAGGTTGCACTGAACGTTTCTAAGGTACTCGCATCAACTAACACTAGAGTCGCCATCACATCCAGCACTTCCATAACGGATCTAACCAGAATATAATTGAACCACCACAAACCAGTCAATGCAGGAGTTTACACTATACCTTGTGGAGGCTGCAACAGAATATATGTAGGTGAAACAGCAAGGACCTCAAAACCTGTCTCAACTAACACATTAATGCATGTAGGAACGATAACTTGAACATCGCCTATGTACAACGGAATTCCACCAATCACCTCATGAAATTCAACGACACATGATTAGTGATCAGAGAACCTAATTTCTGCAGACGTAAATGCCTTGAATCATCATTAATCACTGCTAACACAATCAAGCAAAATAAAGGCAGCTTCATCATCTTTGAAGTATTAGCAAAAATCCTCAACACAATAAATCCTGCCATCACATAGTTGCTGCTGCTAGTACTACACAAGAACATATTAGAGGAGGAACACTGAAACTGATCTTCTCAAATCCAACCACTAACAGTAAAATTTGTATAACTTATTTTTATGCTACCCAAGTAATAGCTTTTATAACCTTTTACTCATGTGCAAGTTGATTGTTCTGTCACATGTATTATTACTACTACTACTACAACTATAATACTACTGCTACTACCACTAGTATTACACCTCACTCTAAGCCTATATATACCCTCTGTGTCCATATATTATTTGTAATAGCTTGATAAAGCTCCTGGAGAGCAAAAATTACCATAAAATGTCACATTAGTTGCACTTGTGTCCTTTTACCTAACATGTTGTCAGCAATTCCACCAACTTTAATACAAGTGTTGAGTAGCTGACATCTTACTTTCTTGTCCACTAAACACATTATCTGCCCCTTATGCATAAATTATTTAGATGATAAACATTTAGGAATGTATTCAAGAGTTAGGTAATATGTGACCTAACTATACTGCTGGAAGCCAAAGCAAGTATTAGGAACTCTCCACACACTTACTGTACACAACCTCCCACATTATTTTATTACAGTATTTTCCTTAGTTATAACTTTTTTCTAAGGGATTAATTTTAATACATGTTTGTTTAGTATAAAGGTGATAATATCATATTTGTCCGGTACACTCTGGTAGGAAATATAGCTTTATATTTAAATTCCTAACATGTATTTAGGGGCCCAATTAATGCTGAATCCCACATTTTCGAGTAAATAGTTTAGCTTTGGCTTTATCAAATGCATTTATCTTTGGAATGTGTTTCTTAGGCACACATGTAGCGAGTTCTTGTTTGTTTGGTACAATCTGGTAGAGAAATATGATCCATTATCTCAATGTTCACATGTACTTAGAGTTTTTTTTTTTTTTTAACAAGTCAGCCATTTCCTACCAAGGCAAGGTGACAAAAAAAAAAAAAACATTCAACACATTCACCATCACTCATACATAACCACTGTCTTTGAAGAGGCACTCAGATAAGAAGAAAGAAGATGTCCCTCCAAACTGCCAATATTCCAAAACCAATCCTTTAAAGTGCAGTTGATGAACATCCAATTCCATCCAATTCAACCCAGTTGGCCCATGATAACACTCCCACACTCTTCAAATACTAAAAGTAACAACTAACAATGTAGGGAAAGACATACTGTAGCTATTTTTAACTAATACAATATTAAAAATAACTGACAAATTTGAAGGTGTCTTCATCATAAGCCAGTTTTTCCCTATTTTTTTTTTTCAACAAATGTAACACAAGTGTTAAAAGAGGGTTTACTGTTTAACTATTTTAACAATAAGATCTCGATCATTATCAGACTGATCAATATTTAAATATTAAACATCAAACTATGATTTTAGATAATACATTTGTTACAATACAAATTTAATGTGTGCCACAATATCAAAGGCTCAAACTCCCTACAAATAAAATACTTCTGCATCACTTGAAAGCTTGTCATTCTAGCAGAATATGGAAATATTTTGTATTATTTACAAATTACTGTAATATATACTTTCTTCCTGAAGTGATAATTTATAAATGAAATGAAAAAAATTTCAAATTCACACTAGAATGTCAATGGAGAGATGATTATCCACAATGAAGATAGAGCTTATCAAAATCTTGAATATCTCTTCTTTTCTCATTAAAATAAAGAAATGTTGAATATTTCTCAAAGTTGACAAACAATGCAATGCTCTTTGTGTTGAATGGTGGTTCGAGGGTTAAAGCAATCAAGATTCCCACAACACTTGAAATGCACTGAAAATTTCTACAAGCTCATATATATGTATCATGTGAGTAAAGCAGTTGCAATCTGAACAATGATATAATAAAGTATATCACTGAGAAGCATTACCAAGCAATTATTTACAACTGAAAAAAGAATCATGAAGAAATTATACTGGTTAAAAAAAAAAAAAAAGACAAGGGGTAAATGCTCTCCTGAAAGAATAATGTGGCAGTGTAAAGTATAGCAGACAAACAAGCTATACTGCAGTATACCTATAGCAAATTAATAAAGTAAAATTTGTAAGACCAGCTCTTAGACTTACCCCTTAGTCTAACAAGTAAACGAAATATATATTTAAAAACACTAAGTTGATGAATACAGCAAAGTATCGTACAACCAAGGTCTATAAATTCAGCTATGAAGATGTTAATTGGCAAGAATGTCTGAAGGATTTTCCTTTCTCAAAGAGATGGCACTCACAAGGAAAGAAGCTACAAGAAGAACTTAACATTTGAAAATGTGAATGACAAATTTAAATTATGTGAAGAAAATCAACTGGAAATCAAACTGTAACCCACAGCTGCCCTGCATAAAGTACTGATGTTCTGAGTTGGAAATCAAACTGTAACCCACAGCTGCCCTGCATAAAGTACTGATGTTCTGAGTTTAGCAAAGTGTTGAAGTTCTTTGTTAGGTGACTGCTAAGAAAACAGAATTTAACATTTCAGAGAAACCGAAAGTTAAAAAAAAATGGTAATTGTAAAAGTATATATAAAGTGACTTAAGAAACACCTCAATTAGTATCAGGGATGGGACAAAAACAAAAATTTTGCCAATATTAATACTGATACTCATTTTAGGTTGATGTTGATAACATCAAAATTAGCAGATTCCAATATCTGGCACATCCCCAGTATTACTATATTTAGGGAGAAATGTTAAACCTGCAGGTCTCAAACAGCACATGGGAAATTAGAGGCAATTAGGTTCAATCCAAGGAAAGGGAGGACAAGTCTAGCTCCTTACATCAAGAGCCCCTCACCAACTTCAAGGAACCTTCCCTCACCTCTATGGTGAAAAATGGGAAGCACTTTTAGTACTGTGGTTATTTATACACTTAAGTATACATATGGAGATCACCAACCTAAAACTATTCTCAAAAGGAACCTAAGTGTTTTTTAACATATGTTTAGTCACATTATTATAAGGAAATTGACCAAATATATTCAGTGCATTATAATAACCCAAATCAAAACCACTTCTGAATTTCACAGAACACAAGTAAAATTCTCCTTGTTTATTCATTAACAATCCCCAGGATTCAAAATGAAAACAACAAAACAGAAAGGAACCACATAACTATACAATACAAAAAATACAACAAGCAACATTTCCACCAGAGCCACAAACACACTATACATCAATAACAGAAGACCGTAAGTACTGTACTCTTCTTTATAATTAACATAACAGCTCAGTAGTAAATTACCAGTAAATAATTACTGATGAAGCAAAATAAATATTATTTTTCCTTACCTGACACATCTTGCAATCTGGACACTGCCATCCTGCACGTAAAACTGAGATGGCAGTGACTGGGGGTTTCAGACAGAGGCCATGGTAGTGATTGCCACAAGAAGAACAGAAGAGAAGGGAGCTCTCAGGAGATGAATGCTCGCATACCATACACGCCAAGTCCACTACTAACAGAAATTATGAATGGGGTTGTCAATCACAAACACATGAGAAATGTTGAACTGTTTTACAGATTAAACTTTATATTAGTGCCATGCTGAATTTTCATTATGTTACCCTTGATTTATTTATTTATAAAAAGTATTTTCATTTGTAGGCAACTAAGTAAAAGCAAATACCAGTTTACAGTTTACGAAGTATGGTACTTACGCAAGTCTTTGCTTTTGTCTGCATGAGATGGGCAAACCATTCCAACAGTTTTAAGATCCATAGAAGCCCCAGCACTCATTGCACAAGGAAAGTGATAAAACCTCTGACATCCAGAAACCTACAAAAAATGTAAAATCTATTAAAAGAGGAAAACTGAATACAGAATAAATAATACTGATTTAGTAATCAGTGATTACTAAATCAGTATCATTTATAGAATACAGTATCATGATTGATACTGTATTCTATAAGAGTTTATTCAAGTATAAGTGACAATGCAGCATATAACACAGTATATAACCTGCAGAAATTATAGAGAAAAATAAATAATTGAAAAGGCAGAATCTGAGAAGATAATTACAAAATTTATAAAGGGATGCTAGAAGTAAAAAAGAAAATGCATGAAATATTAAATTATTTCATAACAGAGGGCAAAAAACCAGGTTAAGTTATTTAAGAAACAAATTATTACCCATGATAAACCTACCTTACAAGGAAGAGTTGCACCAAATTTCTTACAGCTAACACATCTCTGGCTTGCTCCATCAACAACAGCTTGATCAACTAAAGTGACTGTATCATCATTTATCAGTTCAACAGTAGATGACCAGAGTGCACACATATAATGGACAAAACAGTGACCTGAAAATACGATTAATTGTTAACCCAAATCATAAATATTTTCAAAGTTAATATTTTTTGTTTTAATTCAGTAACCATCTTCCACCATGGAAGGGTGACCCATAGGAAAAAAACAGAGACATCACTCACTTTCTAGCTGTCTTTCAAAAGTGCACAAACATCACAATTTAAATGGCTCTACATAGAGCAACATTCCCATTTATCTTAAAATGGCTAAGAAAGGAAGGTAAGAAATTTATTATATCCTAATATAGTTTTAAGTCAATGAAGAAATTCACATTAGCAAAAGTATGTAAGAAAAAATAAAAATATTCAGAATGACAGCCAAACTCTCATACAGTACAACAGGTGCTGTATGAGTACCTATTGTACTACTGTAGTTCTACCTATTGTACTATTGTAGTTCTTCCTCCGTAAGCGATGCATGTTGTAAGAGGCGACTAAACTACCAGTAGCAAAGGGCTAGTAACCCCTTCTCCTGTATACATCACTTAATTTAAAAAGAGAAACTTTTGTTTTTCCTTTTGGGCCACTCTGCCTCTGTGGGATATGGCCAGTTTGTTGAAAGAAGAAGAATTGCAGTTCTGAAAACATTATACTCAAACAAAAGTACATTCAATAATTTTTGGGGGGCTATTTTTTCAATGAATTCATATTTTGCACGTATTCATTTATGCATGCGTCATTGTCTCATACATAGATCTATGTTAAAGGCAGGGTCATTTGCATAGGTTGACATTTTGAGCTCAGCTCCCCCAATAGCCTGCTGTGAGCAACAAACTTTGGCCTAGACATGAGTGGATGAGTCTGTGATGAGTGTGCACAGTATAAAAATTACCCTGCTCCACGTAGAGCAAACCTCTGACCCTGTGTTCAGTTTAAAACAGTGACTGAGGTGCTTTCTAGAATGGCTTCTGGTATTATTGTCTGTTTCTTGATATCATTTGACAACATGAAAGACATACTACTGAAATAAAAACTATTTTGGTTTGTTTCAGGACCAGAAGTAGTTTGAAATCGGGCTCAAGGTAGCGGAAATATTTAACTTATGATTTTCCTGATGCCAAAGCCCCACTACACCCCCACCTTCAGTGTTTTATGGGTTTTTTACCAAGTCTGGTTCAATTATTGGGATGCCATAAACTATGAGTAATCATTCATGATTATATTCTACTACCCAGGAAATAGGGTATATCTTTGATTTTGCATGATGACGAATTCAAAATGGAAATCAAGTGTAATACAGTGGAACCTCAATACCTCAACAATTTGGTATTCAAACATTTTGTTTGGTAAACAAATCGCTCGGTAGTCAACCGTTTGCTAGGCACTCGAACAAACAAACACGACCTACCAGAACTTCGATATAAACTACATGTTTCTTCACATTTTTTTACATTATTTATATAAATAAGTCACCATGGGGCCTAAGAGGGTTAGTGATAAGAGCCAACCAAAAAGAAAATTGGTTGGGAAAAATTCATTCTGTACTCTAATAGATCGGCACTCAAACAGCCTTCTGGAACCAATTAAGTTCGAGTGCCGAGGTTCCACTGCATAGAAGAGGCCTGGGGACATGATCAATGAACAAAGAAAATGTTATTTTAGTGCTTGGAATGCCTACAATACTTATTTTGAACTCTGTTTTTAAATTAGAATTTTTTAATTGCGTGTAAAACTAGCCAAATTACCGAATTCTATGACCCTTATAAGATAATTTTAATAACTGAATGGGCTATTTCTTGTGCTCAATCAATAGAATAGTAGGAGTAAGAGTGAAAATGATAAAAATTTGGTTAAACTGAGCAATGGAATTGGCTTAAAACTTAAAATAGGACCCAAACTGGGCAAAAACACCAATGCATAAATTGTTAACTGTGTGCCAATTTAATTCTGCAAGTTTTTCATCAAATTTCAGATTTTTTTTTTTTTTTGTATCATTACCTTCAAAAAATGATTCTCTACTATATCAGAATAATTTTTTTTTTTTTTTCAAGTGAGCACTATTAACCCTTAAACTGTCCAAACATAGATCTACGTTCACGAGCGTAGCACCCCCACCTTTATTTTCCCCATTTGAAAGCATGTAAAAAAACGTAGATCTATGTTCAGAGCCCCATGCACGTGAACGTAGATCTATGTCTGAAACAGTTTAAGGGTTAAATATTAGGGCTTCCAACAGTGAAGGGGTTCAGGTTGAATTATAAATAATGTATTACCATTACCATATGAATTGAGAGTTTTTGGATATTCCTATTAAGTATCTGTAGAGCATTCATTTATGCTTGGTAGAGACTGGTCAAGAACTGCAGGGTTAGAGATCATGTTAGTTCAGGTGGTTGGTAGCTCCAGCCAGTATGTGATCAATGGCCAATATGCATCTCCATTATACAAGTTGGGCATGCAATAGCCGTAACCACTAGCTTTCCACAGGCACCTAATACCTTCAACATAACAGTGAGTATATTGAAGAAAGCACATTTAAAGTGTTGTGTCAGATACAATGGGAGAAGAGAAGGAAGTTGCCATTGCTGCTATCTGCATATTGTTGTTCAGGTTTTGAATTCAAATGAGAGAGTGGGAGTTTTTTTTTACCAAATTAGTAACTTGAACAAGAAAGCATGGATTGAATCTACATCACCAAATGAGACACAAAGTATCTAAAAAAGAAGTGCTATAGGGGAATAAGCTGGGCAATAAAACAGCAAAACTTAATTACATACAGGGCTCTAAAAGCAGGTATGACAGATATATTACAGCAGTAGCTGATACTTAAGAGGATGGGCCAAGAACTGAATCTCACAACCTGGAAGCTATATTATATAGGAGATTGGTGGATGAATTTGGTAGGGTGTGCAAAAGAAGAAAATTAAAGGTGAATACAGGAAAGAGTAAGGTTATGAGGATAACAAAAAGATTAGGAGATGAAAGATTGGATATCAGATTGGAGGGAGAGAGTATGGAGGAGGTGAATGTATTCAGATATTTGGGAGTGGACGTGTCAGCGGATGGGTCTATGAAAGATGAAGTGAATCATAGAATTGATGAGGGGAAAAGGGTGAGTGGTGCACTTAGGAGTCTGTGGAGACAAAGAACTTTGTCCTTGGAGGCAAAGAGGGGAATGTATGAGAGTATAGCTTTACCAACGCTCTTATATGGGTGTGAAGCATGGGTGATGAATGTTGCAGCGAGGAGAAGGCTGGAGGCAGTGGAGATGTCATGTCTGAGGGCAATGTGTGGTGTGAATATAATGCAGAGAATTCGTAGTTTGGAAGTTAGGAGGAGGTGCGGGATTACCAAAACTGTTGTCCAGAGGGCTGAGGAAGGGTTGTTGAGGTGGTTCGGACATGTAGAGAGAATGGAGCGAAACAGAATGACTTCAAGAGTGTATCAGTCTGTAGTGGAAGGAAGGCGGGGTAGGGGTCAGCCTAGGAAAGGTTGGAGGGAGGGGGTAAAGGAGGTTTTGTGTGCGAGGGGCTTGGACTTCCAGCAGGCATGCGTGAGCGTGTTTGATAGGAGTGAATGGAGACAAATGGTTTTTAATATTTGACGTGCTGTTGGAGTGTGAGCAAAGTAACATTTATGAAGGGGTTCAGGGAAACCGGCAGGCCGGACTTGAGTCCTGGAGATGGGAAGTACAGTGCCTGCACTCTGAAGGAGGGGTGTTAATGTTGCAGTTTAAAAACTGTAGTGTAAAACACCCTTCTGGCAAGACAGTGATGGAGTGAATGATGGTGAAAGTTTTTCTTTTTCGGGCCACCCTGCCTTGGTGGGAATCGGCTGGTGTGACAATAATAAAAAAAAAAATTGTATTTACATATGTGTACCTGTGAGATAAAGACAGATATAAAAGGACAGAAGTGCAACTAATGTGACATTCTATTGTGGCAACATTTCACTCTCCAGGAGCTTTGTAATGGCTTGACAAAGCTTTTGGAGAGCGAAATTTTGCCACAATAAAATGTCACATTAGTTGTACTTGTGTCCTTTTACTTTAAATAAGTGACAAGTGCAGACTTTGCAGACTTATATCTGTATTTATATGTGTATTTATATATGTATTTTTTTTACATTACTTTGTAAAAAAAAGTCCTCTTAAAAAAAAAATTATTTTTCAAAATATTCAGAGCGCTGCGCGAAAGAACATAGATATACGTTTGGACAGTTAAGGGGCTAATAAAGTTGATACACCAAGTGAACAAAAAAAGTTAAGTATATACCTGTTGGTTCAAATAAAATTGTTATGCTGGGCTGCTCTGAGTGACCAACTAGCGAAATTTCATCCACAGGTTCTGGTAAAGCTTCCCCTACTTGTTTCCTTGGTGATTTCCCCTTTTCCCTGCAGAAAAACAAAAAGTGTAATTTCTCATATTATAAATATATAAAAAATATGAAAAGCATTGTTTTGTTCATTGCATTAATTAGTTAACAGAGACACTGTCTATACACAAATAACCCGCACATAGAAGAGGAGCTTACGACGATGTTTCGGTCCGACTTGGACCATTTACAAAGTCACGCTGTGACAGTCGCAGTGTAATTTTGTAAATGGTCCAAGTCAGACCTAAATGTCATCGTAAGTTCCTCTCTTCTATGTGCAGGTTGTGTGTGTATTGTTCCAGTCACGGTACTGTGCCTTTTTTGTTATTTATTGTGTCTATATCCTTTACCGTAGTTCCCTAACATTTCCCAAATCTTAGAAGGCAAGAGCTCATATAAAACCTTTCTCTGATATTTCATCTTCTAAAATACAGAATTTTGAGCTTTTAACTGGGTACTTTAAATATTTTTTTTATTAAGCAACCACAAAAATTTGGCATAAATCATAAAATGATATAAAGCATTTATTTCAACACTACAATACTTACTTAAATGATGACTGGCTAGATTTTAACTTTTTGGATAATAGTGATTCTTGTGCATTACTGTCGGATGGTGATGTAATTTTCTCTGGCAGCGTATATCCAGGTGTAGGGTCGTGTCTGATCAATTCCCCTTGGCCAAGTTGACTTTGTTCCCCAAGGCAACAAAGTGCACAAACTCGTCCTGGCCTGAAAGTAAATAATATCTTTAAAATAGAAGAAAAATGAACAATTTGGATACCATTTTTATAAATAATGTACAAAGGAAAACTCAGAAGTACTAAGAATGCATTCCAAACTTTCCTTCTTACATAATTCAGCATTTCATAGCAGCATCAGTGAATAAAGTGATACAGACAATGGGGTAACACTGCCTAAATAGAATAAGTAAACAATGAAACCAGGTCCTGGCTTTCCACTACCAGCTTCCCTAGCAGTAAACAGGGTGTGGAACTACCAGGAAGATGCATTATTCATTCCAAAATCTATTACAATTTCATAATACCAACAGTGGAATTTTGCTAATAAGCACACTATGCAGATTTAACGTAGGATAATCTAATATGGACGAAATTTTCAACATTCACGTGGTAACATCATGCAATCCGTTCTCCAATGGGAGTCAGCATTTCCATGCAGCTGTCTGATTTATTTCCATGTTACTTTGAGTATTACACCTTCAAACAATTGTAATATCATAGGCTTTCCTTATAAATATATGTTCTACATGGTTTAAAAGACACACAGCTATTAAAGACACAGACATCACATTATGTTTATACAGCCCACGATATTCCCTCGAGCCTAAATATACAACAAATAAATAATCTAGGATAATCCAATACTGTATATTAAAAAAATGTGACATTTTCATATTTTGTAGAATATTATCCTTTCAAACAATTGCAACATGATAGGTATTGTACAGAGTTAGAAGACCAAAGCAGTTAACAATAAAGAAGTCTGCTTCAATTTATACTGTGTGTTCTGTGTGGAAAAATATTGGGTTATGCATCTCCCCATATCTGAAGTACCAAAATGCTTTAAAACACTTGCAGTATCATAAGAAATTAATGTACAGTGTGTTAAACAATAAAAACATCATAATTTGGCATCATTAAATTGTAAAACACATTTACACCACTGCTGTTGACAAGTAGTCATTTTTTGGGGGGTAACTTCTACACACCATAAAATTCTAAGTTTTACTGTACAACTAGCTTTCCACAACTTACCACTTGTCCTGATATGTAGGTGCAATGAACATGTCATCTTGAGCATAGGCTTCATCATCCAAAGGCAGAGGCGAGTCATCTCCTCCAAGCCCTCCTCTCTCCTCAAGAGACATACTTTGTGTCAAACGACGTCCAGCACGACCTCGACTAAGGACATTAACATTATGCATAAATAATCACGACAATTAACATACATTTCACTATTATATAATGATGCATATTATCATATAAGCAGAGAAGTACTATAGCCAGCTTCCTTCTTGTGAACTCAAAATTTGTTGGACAAATTATTCATGCCATCAAAGCATATTTACAAGACAGTCTAACCTCAAAAATCCAGTGACCACATAAATGAAACCTAAACAACCAAGGGAGTCTTAGCTGCTTTTTCAGATATTTCACAGGAACAAGAGAGAAATGCCTTGTCATAAGAACAACTCTACAGCGCGTGCATGCACACACAAAAGAATGGAAGAAGTATAAAAGTAAAAGAATCCAGGAGAATCAGGAGAGCAGTTGTAGAACCAGAAATGAATATGCACAGGTAAGAAGGAAGGTCCAACGACAATATGAAAATGACACAGCAGCAAAAGCCAAATCTGACCCAAAACTGTTGTACAGCCACGTCAGGAGGAAAACAACAGTCAAGGACCAAGTAATCAGGCAGAGGAAGTTAGTAGGGAAGATCACAAGAAACATCCAAGAAGTATGTGAGGAGCTCAACAAGAAATTCAAAGAAGTGTTCACAGAGGAGACAGAAGAGACTCCAGAAAGACGGAGAGATGGGATACACCATCAAGTACTGGACATAATACATACAACTGAGGAAGAAGTGAAGAAACTGCTAAGCAAGCTAGATACCTCAAAGGCAATAGGGCTGGATAACATCTCTCCATGGGTCCTGAGAGAGGGAGCAGAGGTGCTATGCATGCCACTAACAACAATCTTCAACACATCTATCGAAACAGGGCAAATACCCAAGGTATGGAAGACAGCAAATACAGTGCCAATTTTTAAAAAAGCAGACAGACACAAAGCATTAAACTATAGACCAGTGTCACTGACATGTATAGTATGTAAAGTCATGATGAAGATAATCAGAAGAGTGGTGAAGCACCTAGAAAGGTATGAGCTTATCAACGACAACAAGCACAGCTTCAGGGATGGGAAATCCTGTGTCACAAACCTACTGGAGTTCTATGACAGGGTGACAGCAGTAAGTCGAGAGAGAGGGGTGGGTAGATTGCATTTTCCTGGACTGTAAGAAGGCTTTTGACATGGTTCCACACAAGAGATTAGTGCATAAGCTGGAGGACCAAGCAGGTATAACAGGGAAGTCGCTTCAACAGATCAGGGAATACCTGTTAGAAAGACATCAGTCATGGTACGTGATGAAGCGTCAGAGTGGGCACCTGTGATGAGCAGGGTTCCACAGGAGTCAGTCCTAGGACCAGTGTCATTTCTGGTACATGTGAATGACATGATAGAAGGAATAGACTCAGGAGTGCCCCTGTTTACAGATGTTAAGTTGATGAGAAGAATTCAATTGGACTAGGACCAGGCAGAACTACAAAGGGATCTGGACAGGCTACAGGCCTAGTCCAGCAACAGGCTCCTGGAGTTCAATTCCACCAAGTACAAAGTCATGAAGATTGGGAAAGTGCAAAGAAGACTGCAGACAGTACAGTCTAAGGGCCAGAGACTACAACCCTCACTCAAGGTAAAGGATCTTGGGGCGAGTAAAACACTGGGCACATCTCCTGAGGCGCACATTAACCAAATAACTGATGCAGCATATGAGCGCATAACAAACCTAAGAATAGCATTCCGACATCTCAATAAGGAATCGTTCAGGACCCTGTACACCATGTATATCAGGTGTATATTGGAAAATGCAGCACCAGTTGGGAACCCACACCTAGCCAAGCACGTACAGAAATTACAGAAAGTGCAAAGGTTTGCAACAAGACTAGTCCCGGAGCTAAAGGGCACGTCCTATGAGGAGAGGTTAAGGAAAATCGACCTGACGACACTGGAGGACAGGCGAGATGGGGAGATATAACATAAAATACTGAGAGGAATTCACAGAGACAGGAAGTTCCAGAGATGGGACACAGCAACAAGGGGTCACAATTGGAAGATGAAGACTCAGGTGAATCACAGGGATGTTATGAAGTATTTCTTTAGTCACAGAACTGTCAGGAAGTGGAATAGTCTGGGAAGTGATGTAGTGGAGGCAGGATCCATACATAGCTTTAAGAAGAGATATGATAAAGCTCAGAGAGTGGGCAGAGTGACCTTGAAGTAGTCAGTGAAAAGGCAGAGCCAGGAGCTGTGACTCGACCTCTGCAACCAGAACTAGGCAAGTACATACGTACGTACGTACACACACACACACACACACACACACACACACACACACACACACACGAAGAGAGACTAGTACAAAAAAAAATACACTTGTGTTTCATTTTTGACAGACTAAGAAGGGAAGGGGAGAGAAAGGAATGAGTAAGAAGAAGAGAGCAAAAGGAGGTGGAGGGAGGGAAAGGAGAGAAGGGAAGGGAAGGGGGGGGGAAAAAAGTGGAAGGAGAGAGGGGGAGGGTGAAAAGGATGTGAGAGAGAGAGAGAATGGAGGGTGGTTGAAGTATATGAGACACTGACTATGGTCAGAGGGAAGAGCAAACTTGTTACAGGGGGACTTCTCAAGATATGAGAGTAAAGAAACAGGGCTCTATTCTATATTCAAAGGCTACAGAAAATTACTTTACGCTTTTTTATATGCACAACCACTATGTAGGGGAGTTGAATGACAGCTCTAGGTCTTTTGTGTTGCAGTCAACACATTCTCAAGAGCTTGCAGCAGTTGAATAAAAATGGAGGTCACCCCAGGTAGGTGTATCTGAAGATATCTCACACAGGAAGAAAGCCACCTTAAGTCCACCCAGCCTGACTATCCGTCAGGTGCCAAAGGTTCAAGGAAGTATTTTAAAAAGTAGAATAAAACAGCCAGCCCAAAAGTGTGTGTGATAATAAATGAAAGAATATATCATTAACACTCTCAGTTGCCATCACATATAACTACATCACTGAGTCCAGGGTCCCTCACAGTTTTATGTCATGAGACCAGCTCACTCGGAAAAACTCGTAGTAGTGAATTCTGGCCTAGATACGAGAGAGTGGGTCTCCACAGTGAGTGTGTACAGCATGAAAAAAAATCCTGCCATACAAGAATCATGGGAAGAGCAAAACCTGTGTTTGATTTAAAATAGCAACTTTGAGGTGTTTTCTAGGATGGTTTTTATGGCTTTCTGGCTGTTTCTTGCTATCATTTGATAGAATGAAAGACATTCTACAAAAATAGAGATTATTTTTATTGGTTTCAGGACCAAAAGTAGCTTGAAAATGTGCTCAAAATATTTAATTTTTGCCGATTTTCCTGAGGACAGGTAATGCCCCTACACCTCCCCTCCCCCAGTTTGTTTTATGGGTTTTAAATAGGTCTGACTCAATTATTGAATACTGTAAACCATGACCAATCATTCCTGGTTATATTTTATTATCCAACAGAGTAAATCCTCTATTTTTGTGGGGGCCTGATTAATGACAGAAATCTCTGAATTGTTTATTTTGTACTATTAAATTGGTATTTTTTTAAACTGACCAAATTACAGACTTCTGTGCACTAGCTGTAATAGCTGAATGGGTGGTTTCTTGTATTCAACTGATAGAACAGAAAGCATATTAGCAAAATAGCTAAGAATTTGGTCGAATGGAACAATGAAATTAACTTGCAATAGGACTTAAATTGAGAGAAATCACCAATGCGCAAATTGCACCAAGACTGCTAATTTTGCACCTGCATAATTTTGTAAGTTTTCCATCAAATTTTACACTTTTGATGCCATAACCTTCAGAAAAAGATTCTCTACCATTTCAGAACATTTTTTTTTTTTATACAGTGGACACTGGGAGCAATATTAATTTTGAGGGGTCTGGACAGATGTGATATACACAGATTTTGCAAAGACATTTGACAAATGCAATCATGGGGCGATTGCACACAAAATGAGGGCTACAGGCATAACTTGGAAAGTAAGCATATGGATCTTCAGGTCTAACACAGAAAGCAAATAGTAGCAGCAATTATTATAATAAAAAAGAAATGCTAAGCCTACAAGGGTCATAGTAGTAGCAAACAGAGCAAAATCCAGCATTAATGAGGTAAAAGCTCAATACACCGAGGCACTCTCCTGGCACCTCTGCTGTTAATCCTCATAACAGACATAGATAAAATCACCCATCACAGTTTTACATCATCATTTGCAAATGACACTAAAAAAAGCATGAAAGTCACCTTCGTAGAAGACGCTGAAAAATTACAGGAAGATATATACAGGGTTTTCCAGTGGTCAGTGGAGAACACGACAATCAATGGTGATAACTTTCAGATGTTTAGGTATAGAATGAAGAACTTGAAAATGGACACTGTACACAAAACTGACATATATTGTTAAATAGAACAAAAGAACATGCAGAAGACCTGGAAGTAATTATGTTTGCTATTCTTTCTTTCAAAGAATACAATATGACCAAGGTCACGGCAGCCAGGAAGATGACAGGGTGGATAATGAGAACTTTCAAAACAAAGGAAATAATGTATATGGCATCACATTTCAAATCACTTGTGCTTTCTCATTTGGAATACTGCTCAGTGTTCACAACCCTATTCAGGGAAGGAGAAATATGACCTGGAACTGATGCAATAATCATATATGAAATGCATAGATTCAATAAAGCACTTAAATTAATGGGAACACCTTAAAGTCCAAAATATGTGTTCACTGGAGTGGAGGAGACATGATAATATATACCTCAAAAGTACTTGAGGGCATTGTCCCAAATCTGCACAGTGCCATAACATACTGGATTGAGACATATGGGAGGGAGCGAGCCACCAGTAGCAACAGCCTGGTTGATCAGGTAAGCACCAGACGAACCTGGCCTACGGCCAGGATCTAGGATTTGAAAAATTCTCAGAGTTCATCAAAGGTACATCAAAGGTAAAAGGTTAATAGTATGTCATGCCATTAACCCTTTCGGGGTTTCGGCCATACTAGTACGGCTTACGCGTCTGGGTTTTTGAC